ATAATTTTTGGGGATCATTGTTGTAATAAGGCGAGTAGTTTTGTTGTTTACTACTGTTTGTTGATTAATAAATTCTTGGCTAGAATCCTAGAATTTGGTACGAGGATATATTTAGCTTCTAAGTTTACTTTGCCTAATGTCATGTTCTGACCGTGCTTGTTGTCTATGTAGTTTTGTTTTCGTTTTTATATCCGGGTAAAACATTTTTATGCAACATGTATAGTATACGCGTTTGTGGACTTTGTTGCGTATAGTGTTTTGTTGGTAAAATGCAATGTGAAATTCATGAACACTAATATTTTGAAACCTCTCATGTACGATGTGCTTTTTGCATTTGGTTGTATCATCAAGATGTATTGGAGGTTACGATGTGTTGAGAAGGTGTGGGTATGAGTGTCGGGTGTGGCATTTTAGCCTAAAATGTTCAAGATTTCTAAACTATTGACGAGTATCTCCACACCCGATACGCCACCCATATCCGAGTCCAGGTAGCATAGGTTGCAAATTATAAATGTTCATTGCATTTTACAAAGAATAATAATATAGATTGCAAAGTCCAAAAACACGTGTAGTACAAGTTGCAAAGAAAGAAGCATTTGTTCTGATTCATAGATATCAAATCCAAGAACATTAGTCATTGTCGGCATACAAGAGAGGTGAAATATAAATTGATATAGTAAGTAAAAAAAACTAACAACCCCTTCCCCACACAGTATTTTTTTATTTTATTTTTTTCCTCCTGTCATAGTTAGAAGTCTCTAATATAAGATGATGTGCATTCTCAGTCTTGTTGATTATATAATTAGGTTCATGTTGACGTATTTTAAGATTTACATTTCAGTTTTTCGACGGGTATGGATATCATGGAACATCATTCGAGCAAACATACAGGTGTTACCCTGCTTCTTTTATTGACAAGGTTAGATAGATGGCTTCTCTCAGAAAGTATATGAATCTCATGACTTCTGTTGTGATGCTCACATATTTTCAGCACAAGAATATTTGTAATTTTGTTTATCTAGCAATCCACTAATGCACTGCAAAGGCTCATGCCTTGATTTGTCCTACTTGAAGAATTTCGATTTATCTATCACTATTTTATGTTACATGCTGTAAGCAATAGTTTTTTTGGTTATGTGTCAGTTTCATCATTGATGCATATATTTTGTCTATGAGTCTACAAATACGTATTTGGCATAGTTTTTTGATTTTTATATTTCCGAACTTTGCAGGCACAGATAGAAAACGGTGACAAGGGTAGGCTCTCAGCTCTCGTTCCTGCTATGAATGGGAGTTTATGTTTTCTTCATTTCATAATATCTTATTGTTCCTTTATTTTTGTCAGTTATCATGCCTCCTTCAGCTCTGGACCGTCTTGGTAAGGGACCTTGGCCTTTCGTGATATTGCTTATCATTTTCGATTGATATTCTATTAATTTTGCTATCATTTTAATGTTTGATCTAAGCTTTGAATTTAACCCTTTTTTTATAGCATCACTTCATATTGACTACCCTATGTTGTTTGAGCTCCGAAATACTGCTGTCGAGCGTGTTTCTCATTGTGGGGTTCTGGAGTTTATTGCTGAAGAAGGCATGATATATATGCCTTATTGGGTATGCTCAATTGCTTAAAAATAATTTATTTAGTGACCTTCTCAGACGGACACCACCAATTTAATTTTAATTGTTATCATAATTATTTTTGTGCTGTTTATCAGATGATGGAGAATCTACTCCTACAAGAAGGAGACTTTGTGCGAGTGAAAAATGTTACTCTTCCAAAGGGCACGTATGTTAAATTGCAGCCACACACTATGGACTTCTTGGATATTTCCAATCCGAAAGCTATGTGAGTGCATTTGTAATTTTTTTTCCCTCCGGAATTTTGCAGAAGTAGATTGTTCGTCTTTATGGTTGTTGCAAACTTAGGGATGGTAGGGTTGGAGAATTCTACTAGAAATAGTCTTGGTTTATGTACCGAATATAAATTTGTAATTTAAGTGGTGAAGATTTAATTCTTAGCCGAAATTTTTTATCTATATATAAACTGGTTGAATATAGGTTTCTCGGTTTCGATTTTTAATTTTGAAATCTATTTTTATGCAGCTTAGAGACAACACTGAGGAACTTTTCCTGCTTGACCACAGGGGATAGCATCATGGTGGCTTATAATAATAAAAAATATTACATAGACATAGTCGAGGCGAAGCCTTCCAATGCAATAAGTATTATTGAAACTGATTGTGAAGTGGACTTTGCTCCTCCTCTTGATTACAAGGAACCGGAAAAACCTGCCCTTCCCGCTTCAGCAGGCAAAGCACCAGTTCAAGGTGCAACTTTTATTCAATTCTTATCATATTTTACCTACCTTATAAATTCCTATATGCTGCCAATATAATTGATTGCTTTAGTTTATGGGTTTTGGGTTTTGAGTTTTGAGTCAAAGGCTTCAAACTTGTGTAATTTCCAACTCAGATGCCGCCATGTAATCAATTTGTTAGTCTTCTGTTTGATAACATCGATGGCATTAGGGGTGCACAAAATTTGGTTAAACCCAGCCAAACCGACCGAAACCGAAAATTCGGTTTGGACCGAAATGAAAACTGATTATTTGGTTCAGATTTCGGTTTACATTTTTTTAAAATTTTGGGTTTTGTTTTGATAATAGTGATCGGTTAACCGAACCGAACTGAAAACCGATTTATACATACATATATATATTTTTATTTATACATATAAGTTATAAAAGCATTAATTTGCTTTAATGATAATTGTCAAGCTTTAATGACCCCTAAAATGGCTCTAGCATTAATTTGTCCTCAAGATTGACTTTGTTTTGGTCCAAGTCATAGTTCGGGTCCGAGATCTTCCTAAGAGAAGAATTTGGAATTTATTGAGAAGATTAAACAAGGTGATAAAAAATCAAATTTTGAGGTTCGAATAAAAATCAAATTTTTGGTTCGGATAAAATTCAGAATTTATTGAGAAGATTTAATTATTTATTGCGATTAACAGATAACCGAAGTGAATAGATCACTGGATTTTCGGTTAAAAACCAAATCGAACCATAAATTTGGTTAGGTTTTCGCTTCTTATAATGGATAAACTCAGCTTTGGAATTTCGAATGACCAAAAACTCGGTCGGTTCTGTTCGGGCTTCGACCGGATGAGCAGCCCTAGATATCATTACATTTTGTTCCTAGACAACTGCATTTTCTTGAGACCAAAGCCATTTTATATCTATTTTTTGGTGTATTTATCTTAGCACTCCTCTCAACTTACATTGGATGTATGGAAACCGAAATTCAATATCAAAGTGGCTCTACAAATCCAATAGCCTAATCGTTTTGTTTTATGCAGGTGAAGAACCTCCCGAGGAAGTTGAACCTAAATTTAATCCGTTCACTGGTGTCGGTAGACGTTTGGATGGGAAACCTTTGAAAACACCACCAACTTCATCTGCCCCACAAAGCAAAGGTACCAATTTATCCGGTGGAGTTGGATCGGCCACAGCTTCAAGTTCCAGCTCACAAGGCGGCACCAATCGGCAGTCTCAGGGAAAACTAGTCTTTGGTTCAAATGCCAACCGCCCTAAGGAAACACAAAAGGTTTATTCCATTTCTCTCTTCTTTTTTTATGAAAATGTAGTTTATAAGTTTATATCGTATTGTTGTGGGGAAAACAAAAGACAATATAACATGTCCTCAAGAAAATTACACAATAATGCTCTTGAAGTTAGTGTTTGCTATGAAAATAGCCTTTTTTTTCATGGGGTGCTACTTGTAGATTAGAAACATATGTTATAGAAGTATTTATTGTTTAACTAGATAATTGCTTTTATTTTGTTCGTTCGTTTTTCATATTATAAAACTAGTCTTTGGTTCAAATGCCAACCGACCTAAGGAAACACATAAGGTTTCTTTTCTATTTCTCTCTCTCTTTTTTTTTTTAATAAAAAATGTAGTTTAAAATGTATTGTTGTGGGAGGAAAAAAAAAGGCCATAAAACATGTGCTCGAGAAAAATACACAGATAATGCTCTTGAAGTTTGTGTTTGCTATGAAAATAGCCTTTTTTTGATGGGGTGCTACTTGTATATTAAGAACATATGTTACATAAGTATTTATAATTTAACTAGGTACTTTTTTTTCCTTCTTTTTTGTTATTATCTTAGGTTATGTATGCCCTCTGTTTCTGAAGCCTTTGTTGTATCTATGTATCTATATTGCAGGACACTGCGAAAGAGGCGAAGCAAGAGCCTCCGAAGAGCGAGGAGCCGAAATTTCAGGCTTTTAGTGGAAAGAAATACTCATTGAAGGGTTGAATTTGTATATTTTCTGTTTATGAACTTACTTCATCCATCAATGGAATCTAGCGAAACCGATTCAACTAGGAATTTGTTGTTTGGAGGAGTTTGGGCAGTCGGGCTTTTGATCCAAATTTAGAAGAGATTATTTATGTTTAAACTCTTTCTACATCTCATCAATCGGTCGTTTGTATTGTTCTGTTGTGTTTGATGAATTGATTCATAGAAAAAGGTGGTTTTAACTATTAGACAATTATATTTTTTTTTAATAGATATGCATACTTTCGTAGTATATTTTAATAAACAAATCAATATAGTTATGCATTTTTGTTTGAAAATTATGGCAGGTCGATCGTCTAGCTAATAGACCCTATTGCAACACGAGCCTTTATCGAGCCAAGTCAATAAACGAGTTCGATTTATTTAGGGTCGAACTTGAGCTTTAACGAGTTGAGTTACAAAATTTTTTCGTTCTGTAAATGAGCTTCAACCAAACAAGTCGAGCTGAACCGAGTACTTTTGTGCCGCAAATGTAATGAATCTAAAATATAAGGCCTTTCTGTGTAATATCTACCAATTAAGAACAGGCACTCCTCAAACCCAGCTCCTCGACTTCATTTGCTAGGGTTTAAGATCTCAATACGATTTAGTAATCGGAATTAAAAATCAATCGATCCGTCAATCGGCTTCGACCAATGGCGATGGTTCAGCTTTGCGACGCTGCCGTTCGGAGGATCGCTTCCGCCGCCGGGCAACGGATGGCTAGATCTTCTCTCTCGTCATCTACGGCGGCGCCGGCGCTGGGGACGGAGGCTCCAATCCTGTGCGGTCGAGGGGATAAGAAGACTAAGAAAGGGAAGCGGTTCAAAGGTTCGTACGGGAATTGCAGACCGAAAAAGGAGCAAAAAATCGAGAGGATTAAGGATAAGGTTGAAGTCCCGAGGTCGACTCCATGGCCACTCCCTTTCAAGCTCATCTGAGGTTTTTTCAGGTGATTTTTTGTCGTTGTTGGAGGTGTACATCTTGCTAGGGTTGATGCTTGTGTGAGGCGAAAAAAAGCTTTAATGGTTGATCCGTGATTCTCATTCTGATTTAAGCCTGGTTTAATAGTTTGATTGATGAAATGGGCACGAATCTGTCATCTGTCATCATTTAGCTTGTTCTTATAGCCTTAAGATAGGAATCAGAGAAATTTGTTCAAGCTTCATTTAATAAGTTAAGAATTGTGCTCGTGACCTTTTAGGAACTTAAGCGGTTTGCGTTTCCGTTTGCTTGATCTTGATCGTATCATATTAGGTAGCTTGATTCGACACTAACATTTGTTTACTGGTGTTGTTTTCGTGTTTTATGGACAGATTGTGATAATCGATGTCAGTCATTTGAGATTAGTTATAGAGGCTTGCTTACCTATGATATACGTTGTGGTGAGTACATGTACATTAGCTTAATAGCTAGGTTTTGCTACATTTTCGGGAATGTTTATGTGGGTGGATTTCATATCTTGCGAGAATCCTACAGTTCAAACGAGAAGCAATTAGATTTCTGAAAGAGATGAAGCTTCATATCTTGGAAAAACTGCACTCTCCAATGCATTTACTCCAATTTGGAAACATATCCATTTTGACCCCCTGGTAGGTTTTGGAGTTAGAATGGTCCGTTGTGATCCCTAGTTGTGTCACTAGTTTGCTGTGGTTGTGGTTGTGGTTAGTGATGTTAAATTAAATTAACCTAGCTTAGCTCGGGTCAGCCCGAGCTCGAGGCCTTAACAAGCAGAGCTCGAGCTCATTTAAAGCTCGTTGGTTTGCGAGCTCGACTCGGCTCGAAAAAAGAATTTTTATATAATTTTCTATAGTTCGGCCCGTTAAGGCTCGAACTCGGCTCATTAACAGTGATATACGAGCCGAGCTCGAGCTCGATTTCTGGCTCGTTTATTTAACGAGCCAAACTCGAGCTCAAGCACCTTAAGCTCGCGCTCAGCTCGACTTGTTTACAGACCTAGTCGTGGTTGTGGTTGCTGAATACAATTTTGGTTCTCCAATGGAAAAACATTATGCATTCTTATACCCCTGTACGAGTCGTGTTTTATAATAGCTCTGTTTAGATGTTAGCATATTGATGTAAAATTAGCGGAGTGGATCTCATTTGGACATTTGACTCGTCAAATCCACTAATTAGCTTAGCTTTTTTGGTATGGAGTGGAGCTTATTTGATTAGCTTTTGAGCCGGGAAAGCTAATTCTGAAAAAGCTTAATACGTGAGCACTTTGAGAAGAGAGGATTCGTAAAATAACATGTCTAACATAAAATTTTCAAAATAGCTATACAATTCATTATTTACCAAATAGTTATTTACAAACATTTAATTCGATCCCTTAGTCGAATCCACGGTCAACTATCCGTTAATGGCCAAATAAGGTCATTTTAGCAGTTGGTTTTGCTATGTGATTAACCGACAGTTGCCCATAATAGTTGAAAAATCAAATTCTACGGAGGGTTACTCTGAAATCCATAGTTGCTTGAAAAATATATGAACTGTATAATTTTTCTAAATTTTTTTGGCTTGTTCATAAAATATGTACAGATGTTAATATTGCACAGGATGGTCCGAGACTTTGTGAGTATTATGGTGTACAAGAATTTGGTGTAAATATTGCACGGGTTTGTGGTATAAGAATCTGGGCCTATTGGGTTTACAATCACTGGAAACTAGGCCTAGTTGAAACTACTGTGGCCTTTATTTTATACTGCTATTGTTGGGCTCTATAACCAAATAAAGGCCACAAACCGTTGCTTTCTTCACAAAGACATGATATAAATTTCCAACGTAATCACTATTTCCAAAAACGTCATCGATTTAGGTTATGACGACATAATCGAAATCATTAAATGTGGCGAATTTTGAACACCTTAAATGCTAAAGTGCAATTAAATAATAGTTATTAGAAGAGGACAAATATGATAGTATTGCTTGGTCAAACAATATTAACTATAGTGGTAGTAATAACATCCCCGGTTTAAATAAAACTATTTATGAAATTTTCAAAAAGTATTTGGATCTATATTAAATGCATAAAATGATTTTTTTTTATTTTTATTTTTTTTTTTATTTTTTTATAAAAGAGGATCATAACTACATCTACCTTATAAATAAACATCAAATATATTAACCAAGACCAGTTGAAGTATAATAAAATTATTATTAAACATAATTTTATCCATCAATCTATAGATAATGTTGATATGCAATTTTGTACGATATGAATTAGAAAATTTATTATTTTATCAAATCATGTGTAGTATATCTTTTATATGTATATTGTAAGATATCATCATAATCAAAATAACCAACACATATGGTTGTATTATGTTATTTTGGACATATGAATATCATGTTATAAAAGTGTGCATGTGTTTTGCATGTCCAGTTGCCCACTTCACTTTTAGGCCATCTCCAGCCCTTATCTCTACTCGAACGCAGACTTTACTATACTCTATAGTAGAGTGAAACATTATTCTCCAACCCTTATCTCTATATTTTACTCTACATCAAATATATTATTTTTTTATTCATTTTTATTTTAAATAAATTGAAATATATATATATATGTATATATTTAATCTTATATATATTTTTGTTACTCAAATATTAAAAATAATGTTTATGTATAACTACACGAGACTGTTCTATAAATATACAAACTACATAATAATATGAAAAAAATAAGAACCACTAACAACAAATTGCATAATAACATTTAATTGATAAAATAACATTATAATACATCAATAAATAAAAAGCACATATTATTTAACGTAATAAATACATTAACTATACACAATATACAAAAATTTACCAATAATATTACATTAAAATACATTAAAAAAAAAAACAAAAAAAAAATGTAGCTTTACCAATAATATTACATAAAAATACATTACAAAAAAATGTAGCGTTACCTACAGTGCTGCGCTAGAACTGGCGCAACACTATTCCCATATGTAAAATAGAGGTGAATTCTAGTGCTGGGTTGGAGGAGTTATTTTATCTACTCTGGCGCAAAAAGTGAAATGTAGCGATGGGCTGGAGTTTGTCTTAGACGCTATTATTACAAGATTAAGTTTATATTTTCTCATAAAAAAAAAAATAATTCCATTGCACCAATCCTTGAAATAATTAAAACAACTACATATCATCATTCATACCACATCATAATCCCACCTAATCATCAAGCCTATAAAAGGATACAGTCACATTTTCAATGGGGGACTAAAAATGAAAGAGATATGAAGAGTTGAGAAGAAAAAAAAAAATGTGGTTGGGGACAAAAAAGAGATGAAATTAGTGGTTGAAAATTGTGTAAAAGTTGCTTTCACTCCACATAAGCACTTGTGAGTGTTTGTGGCTGTGAATGAGGGTTACAAGAACCAGACAGAAGCTTGTACTAGTTAATAATGTCTCAACATGGTACACAAATCCATATTTATTGACTTTTTTAAAAATCAAAGATTTACTTATTTTTTGGATGTGTGATCATTTTGGCTGTTGTTTGTGGACCCCAAGCACCAAATTATATCAAGCTTCTCGACCATTCTTTTTTTTTTTTTTTTTTTTTTTT